CAAATAGGAAAACACCCNCTTTTATGCAATTAGGGACACACCCCATTTATGCAATTAGCAAAACACCCATTTTATGCAATTAGCAAAACACCCATTTTATGCAATTAGGAAATCATCCCATTTATGCAATTAGGACAACACTTCTTATGCAATTATGAAAACACCTCATTTATTGCAAAGTAAGTTCGGTCCAATAAGAGGGTGGTGCAATGTAAGTTCGGTCAAAATAATAGGGTGGTCGGTCCAATAATAGAGTGATGCAATGTAAGTTCGGTCCAATTAGAGGGTGGTACAAAGTAAGTTTGGTCCAATAAGAGGGTGGTGCAATGTAAGTTCAGTCAAAAGGAGGGTAGTGCAATGTAAGTTTGGTCGAATAATAGGGTGGTGCAAAGTAAGTTCGGTCCAATATGAGGGTGGTGCAAAAAAGGTTTGGTCGAATAATCGGGTGGTGCAATATAAGTTCAGTCCAATGTAAGGGTGATGCAATGTAAGTCGATCTAATAATAGGGTGGTGCAATGTTAGTTCGGTCCAATATGAGGGTGGTGCAATGTAAGTCCGGTCCAATATGCAATTACACATGGAAACATCCCATTTATGTAATTAGGAAAACACCCATTTTATGCAATTAGACTAACATCTCATTTATGCAAATAGGAAAACACCCATTTTATGCAATTAGGAAAACACCCATTTTACGCAATTAGGAAAACATCCCATTTATGCAATTAACAAAACATCCATTTTATGCAATTAGCAAAACACCCATTTATGCAATTAGGAAAACAACCATTTTATGTAATTAGGAAAACATCCATTTATGTAATTAGTTAAACATCCCATTTATGCAATTAGGAAAACACCCCAGTTATGCAATTAGCAAAACACTCCTTTTATGCAATTAGGACAACAATTTTTATGCAATTAGGAAAACACCTCATTTATACAATTAGACAAATATCTCATTTATGCAATAAGCAAAACACCCATTTTATGCAATTAGCAAAACACCCATTTTATGCAATTAGCAAAACACCCATTTCATGCAATTAGCAAAACACCCATTTTATGCAATTAGCAAAACACCCATTTTATGCAATTAGCAAAACACCCATTTCATGCAATTAGCAAAACACCCATTTTATGCAATTAGCAAAACACCCATTTTATGCAATTAGCAAAACACCCATTTTATGCAATTAGCAAAACACCCATTTTATGCAATTAGTTAAAAAACACCCATTTTATGCAATTAGCAAAACACCCATTTCATGCAATTAGCAAAACAC